AAAGAAAATAAGTCAGTCAGAGAAAGACAGATACCATATGATTTCACGCATATGTGGAATTTAAGAAACAAAACAATCATAGGAAAAAAAGAGGGAGAGAGGCAAACCAGGAAGTGGACTCTTAACTATAGAGAACAAACCGATTGTTATCAGAAGGGAAGTGGTTGGGGGAATGGGTTACATATGGGATGAGGAGTAAGGAGCACACTTGTGATGCACACTGGGTATTGTGTAAAAGTTTTTAATCACTATATTGTACACCTGAAAATAATATTACACACTATGGTAGCTAGCTGGAAATTTTAAAACTTTTAAAAATGTTTATTTAAGTCCAGAAATGTAGATGTTCTCAGTACCCCATCCATAGTCTCTAGGTATTCAAGGTATCATTGCACAACAGCAAATCTTGCAAACACTCTGCCACTCTGCCTGTGTCTTCTCTGGATGGGGTGTGGGGTTAGCCACCTGCAGGGGAGACCAGTGGTGCTGAGGAATTCATACCCCTGAGAGCAGCCTACAGCCCATTCATAGGACGGTGGAAAAATGACCTAGCTTCCTTGCCCTTTGAGTTGGGTTCTGTGAACAACTTGCAAGAATGTATTGCACACTCCCTGAAGTCATGACAGGACTTAACCCCACTCATCCATATTTGTGGCCCTGTGTTGGCCCTTTCCATTCCACTTTTCTCTACTTACTTTCTGTGGTCACCTTCCAAATACAATACTTGCCTAGATTCCTAGTCCCAGGTATGCCAACATAAGACAAATGGTTATGATTAACATGTGAAGGACTATTTTCTCTTCTACTGATCTTAATAACCTAGTAGATATTAAAAGAATTGGGGCAGAAAAGTAGAAAGATGAGAAAAACTAAAAATGAAGAAAAAAATAATTTTGAAAAGACGGAGGCCTTTTTCACAGCCAAAGGAGAGAAAAGCACAGAGAGATGCATTATATTACATGAATCTGAACACTTTCTTGGGATATACAAGTGATAACAAGGTTGAGAAGGAAAGAGAAAATTGGTGAATGCTGCAAAACTCATCCTTAATAGAATGTTGTCAATTTCCCCAAAGTACATTGAAAGGCCACAGATGTCTAGTCCTACTGCAGGTGAGCCTGGAATTCCTCCCCATCTTCTTTGTTTTAGATTTCACCTATGAGTCGATCCATCAGATGAACTTGATGTTAAACGAGGCAACCTCTTCTGGAGCATCACCCACTGGAAGTAGGAATGAACATCAAATAAGCAACACAACCCTATCCTAATGTGAGACCTCAGAGCAGAGCAAGGTAGTTGAGAAGCCATTATAGCACATCAGGGAGATCCATCTTAAGCATGAGTTCTGAGCTCTTTCCTTTGATTCCTCTCTCAGCTGACATAGATGAGAATTGTGAGATAGCCATGGGAACCCCTCTAACATAGCCTTAATTGAGATAATAGGCAGTGTCATCCCATCCTCTTCTCAATGCTTCTCAAGCTTTTTCAGGGAGAAATAACCACCTGGTAGATATTCCTCAATAATGCAGATTCCAGGTTCCTACTTCCAGGGATAAGTCATCACATTGCTGTGATACAACATACAAACCAACAATGGCTGGATCATGGCACAAAAATAGAACTCTGACCCACAAACTATAGCAATTTGTCCAGGAATCAACCCCCTTATCTATAATAAACAGCCTAGGAAGTCAGCCTGCCATAAGTCCAACTTGAAAGAAATCGGACTTCTAACTTTAGTAAAATCGAGGAAGATAAACGGTAATTTCTGTAACAATATACTCAAATTAATATTTTTGGTTAATAACTTCCAGCTTCCCTAATTCTCCACTTCCAACTTAAGACAAACCAGAGAAATCCCAACATGTCCCTAACCACCCTGCTTTTAGTTAACCTATCTCCTTCTTTCCTATGCCAACAATTCCCAGTTGGAGCAAACCTGAAGCTTCTCTTTTTTTCCACTCTAAAGTTTAACCACTCTACCTTTGAGTCTCTGCCAAAATACAAGTGGAAGTGGCTGACTGCCTTGATATGAAAGCTCTGAATAAATAGCCTTTTATTTTCTCATTTGGCTGGTCTTCATTTATGTCCACAGTGTTCAGTAAGTATTTGTTGAATGACCAATCAAATAAAATAGAACATCAACTGAGTACAAGTTTTGCAGAATAACTGACCAGGCTCCTGTCATGCATGACAAAACTCCCAGATTGTAGGTTTAGGTATTCACTCTGACCCTCAGTGATGATCATGTTCTCTTCCAGCACCCATGGGTGAGGTAAGGGTGAAGACCTCTGAGAGAAGTGTGAGTGAATATGTCAGGGGATGTCCCGTAGGTGCCTTCTTCCTTTGTTTAGATGCAATCTGGGGTGTTTTTCAGAGTTATGGCTATAGGGAATGAACTTTTTCCTGAAGTCAATTCATTAATTTTGGCTTCTTCCTTAGTGTGGAGATTCTGTCTATTCCCTGAGCTCATTATGAGCTGGATTAGGTGTCCTGAAACATCTGATATGCAACTAGAGATATAAACCCGGGACATGAGCTCATTGTCAGTTTTATGAGAAACAGAAGAGCATCTTGGATGTTTAGTTCCATAAGTTTTTATTTTGGGGCCTTAGAGTTTGGAGGAAAGTGTGTGTAAAGCTTTTCCCAAGCCACCATTTGGTCACACATTGCCCTAAGGATTAGACATTTGCATGGTTCTTGGGTCTAGCACATCTCAGCTGAGATTCACAAGGTGGAGCAGAAGGTGAACTGTGGTGAACTGAATGGGGTTGGGAGGTGCTGAAGGGTGTGAGGGAAGACCTGACAGATGAGATACTAAAAGTGACCAAGAAGTGGGAGAAGTTCTTCTGACTTCAGTCTTCAGCCTAGAGACTTACACTGGACACAGATACCTCCTTGATGTCAGGTGACAAAAGTTGTTGGCATCAGAGACCAGATAGATGGTAATCTAGTTTAACTGGGCAAAATTGTGTCCTTGTTTATCCATTCTCTAGTCTCTGGATTGAGCTCCACAGTCAGCAGGCAGACCTGTTGACCCTTCCCACACATGTTTCCATGCCACTCTGGTGACTGTGGCTGTGTTCCATTCCTGCCTGTGCTGATCTTGGAATCTACATCCCTGAGCTGTGTTCTGGCTCCGTTTACTGGAATGTCTCTGTAACTTGCTATGTCTTATGACTTTCCTATCTACTGCCATGATCTGACTCTAGACAGCTTTCTCACCACTTCCAAAATAAAGCCAGAGTTATGCACACAGATGGCCCTATTCCAGTGCATGTAAACCTATTTCCCCATCATAATCACCTGGAGGGCTTTTAAAAATCCACATATAAGGGACCTTTTTCATACTCAGTGACCCAGAGACCCAGGGGTGGTATCAAGGCATCTTTACTTAATAAATAAATTTTAAAAAAGGATATCCCCTGGAGTTCCACCACTTCTGGAGTGAGCACTGGCTGTTCCTTCCTTAGTAAATTCAGTGAGAGTGTCTTAGAATATTCAGTGGTTCTAATTAGGTTAGTACCTAACCTAGGTTTGGCACTATGTGAAGTGACTGGTGTACAACCGGGAGATAGGCATATTCCAGTCTCTTCTCTCCTTTCCAAGGAAGAGAGTGGTGGATATGTCCAGAGAGGCATCATGAGATTCTCATGATACATTTGACATCAATATTTAGCTCTGTTTCAGTACCTGTATTGGATAAACACAATAAGTAAATCACATAAATAAATAAGGAAACAAACAAATAAAATGAAAATCTTCATCCAACATAGAAAACATTTTTATTTTTGAACAAGCATTAAACCAGAATGTGATGCCCATTACTGAGGTAATCTGCTGAGAGAATGCAAAACAGAAGAAATATCACCCTTTTATAGACAGGCAGTAACACCCCATTACAAATATGCTTTTGAGATAAACAAGAACTGGTCTTCAAGTAAGAGGATTTGACAGTACCATTTGTGACACGTAGCTCATCTTAGATTCACCTGGTAAAGGGGGTTGCAATCTGTGTTAGTTAATTGGCTTTATCCAAAGGAAAATTAAACTTCTCACACTTTATGACAAGAGGTGGTTTTGCCACTTAGAGCATGGTGCCTGCTGAATTAGGGTCCTACTCTCCCACAGAGCCTGGGAGATAGGGGCACTACCTTCCTTGATGATTACATTTCAAAGAGATGGATCCTAGGTTCTTGAGAAAGACATTCCTGGATCAGAAAGCTGGCAAGAAGCTTACTTAGTTTTTAAAAGTTTTAAATAAAAGGCAGAAACAAGGAGGTTTACAATGAGAAGTTTTCTAAAGTAAATGCTCTAAGAGGGGGTAATCACTTCTTTTATTTTTTTATAAATGTTTATTTACTTGTTTCTTTTAATGGGGAGATGGGGCATAATAAGAATCCTAAGCAGGCTCTTCAGTGTCAGCGCAGAGCCCCCAACGTGAGGCTCAATCCCACAAACAGTAGATCATGACTTGAGCCAAAATCAAGAGTTGGGAGCATAACTGACTGAGCCACCCAGGTGCTCCTAATTTTTAGTTTGCATTTATCCTTACACCTGTCACCCCTTTTCTCTCCTCGTTTCTCTTTCTTGTCTCCCAATACCTCACTTCCCCTCTTAAACCTATGTCTTAAGTCTACAGCTATTCACCTGTCATTTAAGCCCCTTATCTCTATCCCTTGCATTCACTGGCTCCCTTCCTCTGGGGTTCTGCTCCTTGTGTTTTGAGAGAAGTAGGGATCACATCTTGGTAGATAAGGATCTGAGGGAAGCTGAAGAAAAAATGGATTTTCACTGCAGGAGGAAAGGGTGGGGCCATGTCAGAGGGTCAGGCTCTGTCTTTTAGAAGAAACAGGAGAAATATGGTTATTTGGAGATGCCAGATTAGTAGTTTCATTTGTTTGCTCCTTTGTTTGTTCTCAGGATCTCAGCCATAGAGCTCTGGAGCCGCACCTCCCTACCAGACTTCATCGTTTTGGGACTGTTCAGTTACTCAACATATGATTTCCTCTTTTTTTTTTTTTCCCCTTATCCTTCTGGCCTTTGTTGCTGCCCTGGTTGGCAACATCTTTCTCCTGTTCATCCAGGCTAATAGGCACCTGCACACTCCAATGTACTTTTTCCTCACCCAACTCTCCATAATGGATCTGATCATGATGAACACAGTGGTGCCCAAGATGGCAGCTAATCTCTTGGGCCATAAGTTCATCTGTTGGGGTGGCTGTTCTACTCAGGTCTTCCTAGTGGTCAGGGTAGGAGGAGCAGAGTGCTTCCTCTTGGCAATCATGGCCTATGACCGGTATGTGGCAGTCTGCCACCCCCTGCAGTATCCTGTGCTTATGAACTGGCAGGTTTGCTCCCTCCTGGCCCTGGCATCCTGGATGGGTGGGGTGGCTGACAGTGTTATGGATGTGGGCATGGTCTTAAGTTTCCCCTGCTGTCACTCTCTGGAGGTGGATCACTTCTGTGAGGTCCCTGCCTTGCTGCACCTCTCATGTGCTGACACCTCGCTCTTTGAGGATCTCATCTATGCTTGCTGTGTGGTCATGCTGCTGCTGCCGCCCCTTGGTGTCATTGTGGTTTCCTATGCCCAGGTCCTTGAATTAGGATTCCCTCCACTGAGGGTAAACAGAAGGCTCTGACCACTTGTTCCTCCCACCTGGCTGTGGTGGGTCTGTACTATGGAGGAGCCATGTTCAGCTACATGCAGTGGGCCTCCACTAAAACACCAGTGAGAGACCAAGCCACCTCCATCTTCTACACCATCCTCACTCCAATGCTCAACCCACTCATTTACAGTCTGAGGAACAGGGACTGTTTTAAACAGGGACTGTTTTACTTTTAAAAGTAAAAACTCTGATTTGAATTTTGGCATGACGAATCACCCATGGTCTCTTGCCCTTTAAGGAATACCTGGCTCCCTTTTTGTGGTTCGCAGGGCCTCCCAGTCTGGCCTCCAAGCCACCTCCAGTCACGTATTGTACCCCAGCCCTGCTGCAGTTTTCAGGTTTTCAAAGGATTTCTTGCTTTTGTTGCATGAACTGTGCCTTTTCCCACTCTGTGGTGCTTTCTTCTGGGGATCGAGCTAACTCCTCATCTTTCAGGCCTCTTTCCTCCCAGAGACCTTCCTTGTCCCCACCTTATCCCCTGCTCAGGCAGGGAGCCCATCATACACCCACTTCACTCCACAGTTTCTCAGTTCCCAGCCCTTATGCTCCTGCTACATGTAAGTGGTCTATGCCTTTACTCCCTGCTAGGCCATAAAATACAGCCCCTGGTGCAAGGCATGACACCTTCTAGGCTTTAAGCACATTGGCCATATCCACAATGGATGACTTTACCAAGCACCTGATGCCAGGTGAAGCTTCTTGTTCTCTGAAAAAGGGACCACAATGGTCCCAGTCCCAGTCCACCTGAGCTTCTGCTCTGTCTGAGGTCTATGCAGTTCAGCACCACTCCATGTCTGCCCTGCCTGACTTTTACAGAGGTCTTTCGCTACCACGTGGGTCTCTACTGTTTCTTTCTTTCTTTTTTTTTTAAATTTATATCCAAGTTAGTTAGCATATAGTGAAACAATGACTTCAGGGGCAGATTCCTTAATGCCTCTTACCAATTTAGCCCATCCCCCCCACAACCCCTCCAGTAACCCTCTGTTTGTTCTCCATATTTAAGAGCCTCTTATGTTTTGTCCCCCTCCCTGTTTTTTCTATTATTTTTGCTTCCCTTCCCTTGTGTTCATCTGTTTTGTCTCTCAAAGTCTTCATATGAGTGAAATCATATGATATTTGTCTTTCTCTGACTAATTTCGCTTAGCATAATACCCTCTAGTTCCATCCACGTAGTTGCAAATGGCAAGATTTCATTCTTTTTGATTGCCAAGTAATACTCCATTGTATATGTATATACAATATGTGTATGTGATATATATATGTTACATCTTATTTATCCATTCATCCATTGATGGACATTTGGGATCTTTCCATACTTTGGCTATTGTTGATAAACATTGGGGTGCATGTGCTCTTTTGAAACAGCACACCTATATCCCTTGGATAAATACGTGTTAGTGCAACTTTTGGGTCATAGGGTAGTGCTATTTTTAATTTTTTGAGAAACCTCCACACTGCTTTCCAGAGTGGTGGCACCAGGTTGCATTCCCACCAGCAGTGCGAAAGAGATCCTCTTTCTCTGCATCCTTGCCAACATCTGTTGTTGCCTGAGTTGTTAATTTTAGCCATTCTGACAGATGTGAGGTGATATCTCCTTGAGCTTTTAATTTGTCTTTCCATGATGATGAGTGATATTGAGCATTTTTTCATGTGTCTATTAGCCATCTGGATGCCTTCTTTGGAGAAGTGTGTATTCATGTCTTTTGCCCATTTCTTCACTGGATTATTGGTTTTTTTGGGCGTTGAGCTTGATAAGTTCTTTATAGATTTTTGGATACTAACCCTTTATCTGATATGTCCTTTGCAGATATCTTCTCCCATTCTGTCGGTTGCCTTTTAGTTTTGCTAATTATTTCCTTTGCTGTGCAGAAGCTTTTCATTTTGAATAGGTCCCAATAGTTCATTTTTGCTTTTGTTGCCCTTGCCTTTGGAGCCATGTTGAGTAAGAAATTTCTTTGGCTGAGGTCAAAGGGAGTTTTGCCTGCTTTCCTGTCTAGGATTTTGATGGCTTTCTGTCTTATGTTTGGGTCTGCCATCCATTTTGAGTTTATTTTTGTGTATGGTGTAAGAAAGTGGCCCAGGTTCATTCTTCTGCATGTCGCTGTCCAGTTTTCCCAGCGCCAGTTGCTGAAGAGACTGTCTTTATTCCGCTGGATATTCTTTCCTGCTTTGTCAAATATTAGTTGGCCATACGTTTGTGGGTCCATTTCTCGGTTCTCTGTTCTGTTCCCTTGATCTGAGTGTCTGTTTTTGTACCAGTACCATACTGTCTCAATGATTACAGCTTTGTAATACATCTTGAAGTCCAGGATTGTGATGCCTCCAGCTTTGGTTTTCTATTTCAGGATTTCTTTGGGTATTTGGGGTCTTTTGTGGTTCCATACAAATTGTAGGATTGTTTGTTATAGCTCTGTGAAGAATGCTGGTGTTATCTTGATAGGGATTACATTGAATATGTAAATTGCTATGGGTAGTATTGACATTTTAACAATATTCTTCCAATCCAGGAGCATGGAATATTTTCCCTTTTTTGTGTGTCTTCAATTTCTTTCAGAAGTTTAATATAGTTTTCAGTGTATTGATTTTTCACCTCTTTGGTTGGGTTTATACCTAGGTATTTTATGGTTTATGGTGCAATTGTAAATAGGATCAATTCCCTGGTTTCTCTTTCTGTTGCTTCATTATTGGTGTATAGGAATTCACCCCATTTCTGTGAACTGATTTTATATTGTTATTTTGCTGAATTCATGGATCAGTTCCAGAAGGTTTTTGGTGGAATTTTTGAGTTTTCCATATAGAGTATCATGTCGCCTGCAAAGAGTATCTTACTGATTGTCTGACTGCTAAGGCTAAGACTTCCAATACTATGTTGAATAACAGTGGTGAGAGTGGACATTCCTGTCTTGTTCCTGACCCTAGGGGGAAAGCTCTCGGTTTTTTCCCCATTGAGGATATTAGTGGCGGTTCTTTCACTTATGGCTTTTATGATCTCGAGGTATGATCCTTGTATCCCTACTTTCTTGAGGGTTTTTATCAAGAAAGGATGCGTATTTTGTCAAATTCTTTCTCTGCAGCTATTGAGAGGATCATGTCGTTCTTGTCCTTCTTTTATTGATATGATGTATCACATTGCTTGTTTTGCAGATATTGAACTGGCCCTGCAACCCAGATATAAATCCCCCTTGGTGGTGGTGAATAATTCTTTTAATGTACTGTTGGATCCGGTTGGCAAGTGTCTTGAGTATTTTTGCATCTATGTCCATTAGGGAATTTGGTCTGTAGTTCGCCTTTTTAGTGGGGTCTTTGGTTTTGCAATCAAGTTAATGCTGGCTTCATACAATGAGTTTGCAACTTTTCTTCCATTTCTATTTTTTTGGAACAACTGCAAAAGAATAGGCGCTAACTCTTCCTTAGATGTTTGGTAGAATGTCTCTGGAAAGCCATATGACCCTGGACTCTGGTTTTTTGGGAGATTATTGTTTACTACTTGATTTCTTTTTTTTTAATATGAAATTTATTGTCAAATTGGTTTCCATACAACACCCAGTGCTCATCCCAACAGGTGCCTCCTCAATACGCACCACCCACCCAACAATTTGTTCTCAGTTTTTAAGCGTCTCTTATGTTTTGGCTCCCGCCCTCTCTAACCTTTTTTTTTCTTCCTCTCCCCCATGGCCTTCTGTTAAGTTTCTCAGGATCCACATAAGAGTGTAAACAGATCCACATAAGAGTGAAAAGTCTGTATGACTTTTTTCAATTAGCATAACAGTCTCCAGTTCCATCCACGTTGCTACAAAAGGCCATATTTCATTCTTTCTCATTGCCAAGTCGTATTCCATTGTGTATATAAACCACAATTTCTTTATCCATTCATCACTTGATGGACATTTAGACTCTTTCCATAATTTGGCTATTGTTGGAAGTGCTGTTATAAACATTGGGGTACAAGTGCCCCTGTGCCTTAGCACTCCTGTATCCTGTGGGTGAATTCCTAGCAGTGCTACTGCTGGGTCATACGGTAGATCTATTTTTAATTTTTGAGGAACCTCCACACTGTTTTCCAGAGTGGCTGCACCAGTTTGCATTCCCACCAACAGTGCAACAGGGTTCCTGTTTCTCCACATCCTCTCCAGCATCTATAGTCTCCTGATTTGTTCATTTTAGCCACCCTGACTGACGAGAGGTGGTATCTGAGTATGGTTTTGATTTGTATTTCCCTGATGAGGACCGACGTTGACCATCTTTTCATGTGCCTGTTGTTGGCCAGCTGGATGTCTTCTTTGGAAAAGTGTCTATTCATGTTAACTTCCCATTTCTTCACTGGATTATTTGTTTTTCCTGTGTGGAGTTTCGTGAGCTCTTTATAGATTTTGGATACTAGCCCTTTGTCCGATATGTCATTTGCAAATATCTTTTCCCATTCCGTTGGTTGCCTTTTAGTTTTGTTGATTGTTTCCTTTGCTGTGCAGAAGCTTTTTATCTTCATGAGGTCCCAATAGTTCATTTTTGCTTTTAATTCCTTTGCCTTTTGGGATGTGTCAAGTAAGAAATTGCTGCTGTGAGGTCAGAGAGGTCTTTTCCTGTATTCTCCTCTAGGGTTTTGATGGTTTCCTGTCTCACATTCAGGTCCTTTATCCATTTTGAGTATATTTTTGTGTATGGTGTAAGAGAGTGGTCTAGTTTCATCCTTCTGCATGTTGCTGTCCAGTTCTCCCAGCACCATTTGTTAAGGAGACTGTCTTTTTTCCATTGGATGTTCTTTCCTGCTTTGTCAAAGATGAGTTGGCCATACTTTTGTGGCTCTAGTTCTGGGGTTTCTATTCTACTCCATTGGTCCATGTGTCTGTTTTTGAGCCAATACCATTCTGTCTTGATGATGACAGCTTTGTAGGAGAGGCTAAAGTCTGGG